GTAGAGACAGGGTTTCACCATGTTGGCAAGGCTGGTCTTGAACTCCTAACTTCAGGCGATCCACCCTTCTCGGCCTCCCAAAGTGCTGAGATTACAGGCATGGGCCACTGCGTCCGGCCTGAAAAGTCTTTAAAGTTTATAGGATAGATTCACTGTAATATAATTCTAGGTTGGCAGACTTTTAATTTTTTTGTTTTTCAGCACCTTAAAGATACCATTGTATTGTCTTCCGGTTCCTTAGTTTTATTGAAAAGTTAGCCATAAATCTTATTAATGTTTCTCTGAAAGTTCTGTGTCCTTGTAATTCTGCTTATCGTAAGGACTGTGTGGGTTTTAGCAGTTTGAGCACAGTGTAACTAGTGTAGTCTTCTTTGTATCTCCTTGGTGCTCCCTGAACTTCCTAAATCTGTGGCTTTGTGTCTTTTTCAATTTAGGGAAATTGTAGACATTGTCTCTTCTAATGTTACTTCTACCCCATTCTCCCTTCCACTCCTTCCGGGATTCCCATTCTAATTATTTAAACTCTTGACTGTGTCCCAAGTGTCTCTTATCAGCTGCTTCATTTTTCCAGTCTTATGTCTGTCTGCTTTAGTTTGGATGTTTTTCTATTGACCTATTCACTAATCCTGACATCTGCTGTGTCTGCTACGTTGTTCAATGCATCCAAATAAGTTAATTTCAGATAGTGTCTTTCAAAGTTATTTGACTCTTTTTCACAGATTCCAACATTCAGTTGAAATTTTCCATCTTTTTATCCATTTTATTAACACACTAGTCACAAGTCCCTGTTTGTTAAATCCATTATCTGGATTATCTAGGGGACTGCTTCTATTTACACTTTCTCTTGATTGCTGGTCATATTTTCTTGACTCTTTGCATTCTAGTAATTTTTTTTTTTTTTTTGAGACGGAGTCTCGCTCTGTCGCCCAGGCTGGAGTGCAGTGGCGCGATCTCGGCTCACTGCAAGCTCCGCCTCCCGGGTTCACACCATTCTCCTGCCTCAGCCTCCCAAGTAGCTGGGACTACAGGCGCCGCCACCACGCCCAGCTAATTTTTTGTATTTTTAGTAGAGACGGGTCACCGTGTCAGCCAGGATGGTCTCCATCTCCTGACCTCGTGATCCACCTGTCTCGACCTCCCAAAGTGCTGGAATTACAGGCGTGAGCCACCGCGCCCGGCCACAGTAATTTTTTTTATTACATGCCAAGCATTGTATATTTAAGAACTATGGAGACTGCAAATGATATTGTTACCATAGAAAGGTCCTCTTTCCTCTGTTAGGCAGAGAGGATTCAGGACTAATTATTTCAATCCAGTCAGGGATTGAACTGAGTTACAGGGTCTCCTTCTGTTGCCCAGGCTGGAGTACAGTGGTACAACCACAGCTCACTGTAACCTTGAAGTCCTGGTCTCAAGTCATCCTCCTGCCTCAGCCTCTCGAGTAGTGGGGATTATAGGTGCCTGCCACCATGCCCCGGCTAATTTTTTTATTTTTTTGTAGAGACAGGGTCTCACTATGTTACCCAGGCTGGCCTTGAACTGGCCTCAAGCAATCCTCTTGCCCCAACCTCCAAAAGCACTGGGATTACAGGCATGAGCCACCTCACCCAGCCTGGGCTGCAGAGTTTGTAAGGGTCAGTCCACCCTTGATTCATGTTTGTCCTTCTAGGCGTTTGATT